AACATAATATTAGTGACAAGCAAACTGAGAGAGAAGGAAAAGGACATTATATATATATGTATATATATATGTATATATATATGTATATATGTATATGTATATATTAGATGCATAATATATAATATATATTATTTATATATATATATATGTATATATATTATATGTATATATATATATATATATATATATATATATATATATATATATATATATATATATATATATATATATATATATATATATATAGATAGATAGATAGATAGATAGATTGATAGATTGATAGATAGATAGAGAGGGAGAAAGAGAGGGAGAAAGAGAGGGAGAAAGAGAGGGAGAGGGAGAGGGAGAGGGAGAGAGGGAAAGGGAAAGGGAGAGGGAGAGGGAGAAGGAGAGAGGGAAAGGGAGAGGGAGGGAGTGGGATAGGGAGATGGAGAGAAGGGAGAAGAAAGAAGAGAGGAAAGAGGAGGATAGAATGAAAGAGCAGCATAAGTCTTACAATAAAATTATAAAATCAAAATGCATATCTCTGTTGGGGTTTTATCTTATGTACACCAAAAATAATTCTAAGCAAATAGGTTAGTCAAACATCCAGATTACTTGTATATCAAAACCAGTTGTTTGTGCTTTGTTGTGCTTTAGTAAAACATTCACATTAAGTTAATTGTGCAATGAAGGACTTTTAAAGAATATTGGTGAACCCATCAAAGCCATTATCATTCATTATAACATCTCCAAGCATAATGACTTAAGCAAATAACAGATATATCTGTGATATAAAAGTGACACAGCAATGAAGAAAAATTCCTTGCAGAATACAAAATCAATAAAATAAACACAGTAAAAAAGAGAAAGAGAGAGAGAGAAAGAAAATCGAAAAAAATATATAGTACATGCTATTGCCATGCACTACAGACACATGTAAGAAGAAAGTTGAACAGAACTGTCAAAAAAACTTCTTTTTACTGTTATTCTAACAGTCTCATCACAATCTATGTCTTAAACATAACTCGTTTGGGAACCTCTTCATTTTCTTACAGTCCGTCATGTCCAGATTTCATGCATTTTCTTGTACTTATTTGAAGTTTCATGTCTTATATCTTAAAAAATAAAAACTGGTACGAGAACACTGCGCTGGTTTGCATTTACACACCTTCTAATAGATCTTCAACCGCCATTCGTACGCCTTTGTCAAATGCTCGAGCATCGGCGGCTGTTTGAAAGGTTAGTCCGAACTTTTTGTCTCCTGTCTTCCAGTGGTGAAAGGTAGGCATGACTTTGTTGTATTCAAAATCTTTCTTTATTGTACAACTCAACACTACCTGTAAGCAGACAAGAAATAATATGATTAAGTAACAATTTACTAAAACTTCAATTTCTTATATTATATATACACATATATATCCATATCTTACATATACATATGCTCTGAGCAATGGACTATACTTCTTAAACACAAAGCACATAATCCTTATAAAAATCCTTAGTCTCAAATGTTAATTACATAATACTGATCAAATATCAAACACCTAATTCCTTTTCTTGCAGATGATAAGCCCTAATTGTGAGAGGAATCACACCACACACCGCACAATACTTACTGATTGATCGGATAATCTCTTCCCATAGATAAGATACTCATGTTTGGAGTCGTCAAGGTCGGGTTGGGTGACGCGCTTCCGGACAGACACATTGGAGAGGCCGCCCCCACCCATGGGCAGCCAACCCCCAGTGCTGTCATCACGCATCATCACCTGAGCACGCACTCGAACCAAGTAGTTGCCGCTGAAAGAGGGGGGGGTGCATTAGAAACAGCCAGAATGTAAAATGGTGGTGCATGAAAAGACCTTACGCTGACACAAAGATTACTGTCAATTCAAAGGAAATGACATGAAGCAGATGGACACCAACAGGAACACAGAAATACAGTAATCAGGCCTATATTCTGACTGAACTAATGAATAAACTTAAAAAAAAGAAAAGGTACATTCACACAAATAAGTCCTGAAAACACCTATACTGGATTCTTCAACTGATCTTTATGCAGCATGCAGTGTCTGGTAAAAAGAACTTTGTCTTCTTACTTATCAAAATATAAAAAAGTACACCACAAACAACTTGACTGTAGCATAAAATATATAAAAATCTATATACAGAGCTCAAAGTTGACAATCACTTATTTTGACTATCTCAAATATACTGAAATGTTAAAAATCTGGCTCATCTTATGCTTTGCACTAATGGATTTTTGATTTTTAATTACAAAATTCTTGAAGGTAGAAGCTGCTTATGATATCAAAGTCAAATGTTCTGAATTGCTAAACGTGCTCACTTTCAGTGATATCGTGCTGGCCATGTTTGATTCCATCTTGATCAAATATTTTAAATATTTTGAACAAATATTTCATTTTGGAAACACTGTCAAAGCAAGTTTTATTCAGAAAATATCTACCCTTTGCATTGAACCATACCTTAGCATTAGCCATGACACAATATTCTATCAATTGAAATGCAAAATACAGGTTCAACGTAGCCATCAAATTCTAGCTGTATCAAATTCATTGCAATAGTGAAAAAGTGATTACTTCTTACAACTTCGATATCTTTGCATCTGCCAATATTAATGGTAATTTATAGTAAAGTAATTACTGACAACTTGATGAAATATTTTATTCTGACAAAGCATAAAATGGCACAAATTGATTTTTTGTTACTGTCAACTTCCTGTACATACTGACATATGTAATGTGAGTGTATGTATTATATAAATATAATCATAATCATAAATATAAATATAAATATAAATATAAATATAAATATAAATATAAATATAAATATAAATATAAATATAAATATAAATATAAATATAAATATAAATATAAATATAAATATAAATATAAATATAAATATAAATATATATTATGTATAAATAGTCTACTCTATTCCACACTGATCAAATTTGCACATAAACCTTAGCACTTATAAAGATAAAAACACAGCAATACCAAAAACATTAAAATAACCAAGAAAACCTCCTCTTTTCTTTAAAAAAAAAAAGCACTAAACTACATCAAAAACACACTCCAAAGACCCACCTCCCACTGGACGAGAGTCTGAACCAACGCACCATTCTGCCGCCGCAACTCTGGTCTTTATTCATATTACTTAAAACAATCTTTTGGCTTCTTTCCTTCTATTCACTTCCCCACACCGGGAAAATTCAGTGCACTCGACCTCAACCTGATTCTTCTTGGAAAGTATCTCTTCGTACACACGACACACAAAGACACATATAGCAGCAGCCACACATAAATATTTCTTTCTTTTTTTCTTTTTACATATATCACAGCAATTCGTCACTGGTTATCAAAAGTGTACTGTCGATTCGAGGCCTTCCTCTGTTATCACGAGTATATTAAAAAAAAAATCGACATCAAAAAATCTCTCACTCTATATCACAAACGCAACGTCGATTCGGGTGTTTCCTCTCAAGTACGACCTCCGCCTCTCTCTCTCACTGTACTTCCCGAGTCTTCCTCACTGTACAAAGCTCCCCCTCCACTTCGGACGCCTCCTCCTCACTGTACAAAGCTCCACCTCCACTTCGGACGCCTCCTCCTCACAGTATACCCGCGTACAAGGTCGACCTCGAACCTTCCTCTCCCTCATTCACCCCCACAACTGGACCCACGACCCGCAGCGCTGACCACCTCCTCCTCCGTCGAGCACCTTACAAGCACAAAG